ACTCAGCGGGGCCTGAACCTTGCGAATGTGAGCCGGCCAGGCCCTTTTCCCCCAGGCTTAGTCAAGCTCTCATTGTTCACCGTCTCTCCCTCATCCTTTCATTCCAGACATGGCTTTAGCATCTGATAATTTGAAAATTATTATTATTATTTTTATTTTTAAAATTTTTGTTCAAAATATTACAGATGTCCCCTTCTCTCCCCAATGACTCATTCCACCCCTTCCCATCCCTTGAATATTATTTAAAGTATCTACCTTTTAATGCTGAATTCGTTCACCTTGACCCCTGACTGGGATAGAGGCACCCTGTCTCTGGAGATTCCTGTCTGCACAAGGCTAAGAGCTTCTGTTTTCCCATGCGCAGAAGGCTTAGATTTCAGCCTCTCTGCCACAGATGAGCTGTGTGTGCCTTAGGTGAGTTCCTCCTGGCTCCTTTCTCTCCCTGAAAGAATAATTGAGCTCTAATTGTGTCTCCAGCCCTGATCTCGGCAGACAGGGGCGGGCGATAAGGCCTCTTGGTGTTGATGCCACTTTCTCCCTCCCCTTGGCCTCCAGGCCTGCCCTTATGAGGGAGAGGATGGCAGACCTCACCTCCTGGGGCTTTGTATGGGAGTAGGGGTTGGGTGGGTCAGGTCCTGCTGCTTCACCGGCTTCTTTGCCCCCATACCCTTCCGCCTTGGAGAAGGTGGTTGTGCCCCTTTGGTTCTGTTTCAGGCCCCCTGAACACCAGGGCAGGAAGGTCTCTCATCAGATACTTCCAACCATTTAAGAAAGTTGGGCCTAGGGACATGTCTTGGAGACCTGAAAGAATCCCACAGACCTAATTCCATGTTCCAGACCCTGTACAGCTGGACAAATTGAGGCCCAGAGAGGATAAGGGCCTTGATCAACTCAGGCACAGAGCTAGGCTTGGCGACAGGGCTCCGGACTGCTTCCGCTGCCCCCTGGCTGCAAAGGAGAGCTGGAATCTGGCTTCTCTGTTGCTTTTTGTTGAACATGTGGGAGTTGTCATCTTTAAGAAATCCAATAAAGAAGTGAGATTAGTGCCCACCTGCTCAGCCAGCTTTGTTGTCTGGCTTTTCTTCAGTCTGGAAAGCTCCTCTGGTCAGCTTTTTCCTTACCCCAGCCAACTGAGGAATCAGACTCCGGCCTAGAGAGGCGGGCTGCATGCCAGCCTCTACCACCTGGTTATAGATGTGTATGTATTGGGTGGAGGGTGTTTCTTAGAGCCACTAGGAAGTTCAATAACTGGTCATTGAGTCCTTGTTGCCATGGGGGCTACCCAGGTGTGGCCTGCAAAGGATCTCCATCCAATCCATCCTCAGCTTCCTGCCTAGCTCAGGATTTCCTGCCAACGAAGACTCCCTAGGGAGGGAACCCTAATATTTTTAACTTTCTGGGACCATCAGTTGATATATCAATTTGTTGGGAAACCCTGAAGAAAATGAGTGCATGTTTTCAGAATACACAGATCTGACCTGGAAATAGAAAATACAGGAGCAGTCTTTCAGTATCTCTACCTCTTTTGTACCTTTAACAACTATCTTTCTCACTTCTATATACAGTATTTCCAACTCATTACTTGGCTTTCCTATAGCTTTGGCTTGCCATGGCCCTAATTCAAACTCATGGCATCCTTCTTTTTTCAGTTCCACTGGTAAATTCTCTCCATATTTCTTACCACATTCCTGGCCCGTGGCCAGCCCCGGGATTGGCAGCTCTGGGACCACATGTCCACTCCAGTCCAGTCAGCTGTGTGATGGTAGGTCACAGGGTTCACCGCAGACTGCTTAAGGGGCACAATCTACAGGGGAGAGGTTGGAAATACTCAGAAGCTTGAATACTAAGGCAAGGACTCAGTTATGGATTACCTTAGTCACTGATTCGGAATCAGGCATGAGTCACAGGGGAGGAAAAACTGACACAAAAGAAAGATTTTATTGTTGTCTTGGTCAATATCCCTGGGCACAGCATGAGACTGTGTTCACAGGGCAACAGACCTTCAGGAAACATGTTTCAAAGACTGGCCTGCTCAGACTCGGGCCTTTCAGCAGGCAACCCCTAACTCCCGCTCCTGCTCCCTGCCCACCTGGAGATGCCATGATTTCAGGGACACTCAGCTCGGCATCCGGGTTGGTCCCTCCCACACGGGCCATGTGAAATTGTTATTCAGGGGCACTTAGTGTAGTCTGAGGCAAAACACAGAACCAAATTAGTGACTCTAAGCCCCCGCATGGGATATCTCCCAGGAACATTTGGGCCTGTCACACATTCCAGGAGGGAGCAGCAGCACAGCTGCAGCCACAGCTGCCAGGAACAGCCCAGGCTCCCACTCTGTGTGGGGGGAGCAGGGGCTGGAGGGTTTCCTCTGGGGCCCCAAGTGAGGTCACCCTCACCCGAACGCTGACTTCATCCGTCCAAGGCCGCTTGGCCAAGAGCCCAGGCAGTGTGAGGGGCCCTCTCCCACAACAGGCCTTGGGCAGGGTTGGGGGAAGGGTGACTTTCAGGTCTAGCCCAGCTCCCCAGAAATCAGGGGGTGCATATCAAGCTATAAAATGCCAGGGGTTAAAAAAAAAAGATGGAGGTGTGTCAAAGGGTGGTGGTGGTAGCAGTACTTTGGTATTTAAAGGTAGGAAAATGCAAGGAATTGAAGCTTTTTCTCCAGTTGTTCTTTGGCAATCCCATTAGAGAATTCTAAGAGGCATGCAGATGACATCATGTCTTACAACTGAGAAATCTCAATAATTCTGTGAAATGGAACCCCTGCCTGCACCATGTTTCTCATGGAAGCTGCTTTATGTTTATGTAAAGTTGTGTTTTATGTCACATTTAAATGAAGTTTTAATATTCTTAAATATCTACTACAAGTAGATTACAACACATGAAGATCACAGGAAATGAACTTCATTTCTCAGCATCACAAACGTTTGGAATACAAAAAGTCCAGGGACGGATTTTATAAGTAAGAAAGGTACAAAAGAAATTTGCTTAGGAAATAACAAAAAAAATTTAAAAATGGATTTTCCCCCAAAGTCCAAATAACTGTGGTCTAACCATCGGAGTAAAGGCTTCATTGGCTCATTCCTTTGATAAGAACGAGTTGATGCAAAATTGTCTATCTGAGGGTGTGTGCAAGAGCCACCACATGCTTCACACACACAAGCACAGACACCCACAAAGACACACACACAGCTGAGTGTTTGTTGTTCTAGGCACTTCATAGCCACGTTCTTAAGTCTGCCATCTGCCCATTACATTTGGCAAGTTACTTCTTTGGAGGGAGGACGTTTTCTTCAAAGTAGCCCTGGTTGACAACATTCCCTGCTGGGAAGTATCTAGCCACCACGAAGGAGGAGCCATCACTTGCTGACGCCTTCCCCACTCCCATCTTCTTTGTGTTCTTCCACACCATGGCCGTGAAGTGTCCTGTAGGGGAGCAGGCAGGGGCAGAGGGGTACAGGTTAGTCAGCAAAGCCCAGGGAAGGAAGCTTCAAAAGAGTCTTGAGCCCCCTGCATCTTGCCAGGCTCGGAGAAGCTTGATCTTCAGACACTGATCAGAGAAAGGAGACCCCAAAACTTACCAACTACCTGACTTCTGTAGCATCGGGTCCTCTCAGTCACGACAATGACTCTACTCACCTCACCACTGTTCAATGACCAAAGGTTTCATGGTTTCCCAGAGATCACGACAGAACCCAGTGACCCCAACAATTAGGATGCCACCCCACCTTGCACCTGCCTCCAACCCTTCTCCAAACTGCGCTCTTTAAAGTCACCAACGATCTCCATGTTCCTCCCCAACGGTCACTTTCTGTCTTCATCTTACTCGACATCTCAGGAACATTTAATAGGGTTGACTCCTCTCCTTTTCAAAGCACTCCCCTCTTTTGGCTTCCATGATGCCACCTCTCGGCATTCCTCCGGTCCCACTGCCTCTTCCCCCTCCTCTTGACCTCACTTGTAAATGGTGGAGGACCTGCATTTCCCTAGGCTCGAATCTGGGCTCTCTTGTCTTGCTGCAGTCCTTAGGCAATTTCATCTTCCCCTGGCTCCTAAATTTATTTCTGCAGCCCAAACCTCTCCTCTGTCTTCCAAACACAACTACTTAGTTGACATTTCTACTTGGATGACTCACAGGCATCTCAAATTTAACCTCATTCTTGATTTTCGTCTGCCCAAAGTTATCCCTCTCCCTACCCTCCCATTTCCTTTAACGGTACCTCTATGCACGCAATCCTAGGGATAGGTCTGCATTCCTCCCCCTACCTCATTTCCCCAGAACAACCCATCATTCAATCCTGACGGATCTAACTCTAACATACATCTCAAGTCCATCCACCCCCAAAACTTTGGTCCCAACCACAAACTTTTCTCACTTGGGCCATTGCAATAGCCCCCTGGCTGGTTCCCCAGCTTCCACCCTTGTCTCCTCCAAATCACTTTCTGCTTAAGTAGTCAGAGTGATAGTTTTGAGACGAAGTCATATCTGTTTACTTCCCTGCTTAAAAATCCTTCGATTGCTTCCGATTGCACCTAGAATAAAGTGAATGCTTTGGCCCAGTGGTCTCTTTTCCATTCCTTGAACACCCCAGGTTATTTCCCACCATGAGGCCCTTGCACACACTGGCATAGAATACCCTTCTGATGACCAACATCTTGTCCCTCAGGCCTCAGCCTTTCACAACCACTTTGAGTTCCTGAACACCCCCCTCCCAAGATAGTCTTATCACACCTATTTTCCCCCCTTCATAACATTCTTACCATTTGCAGTGATCGATTTGATTACTAGCTTATTGCTTGGCTCTTTCAGGAGGCTATGAGCCCCACATGGGTAGAGGCAAAATTGTTTTACTCACTGAAGTATGCCCAGTACCCTGGCACGTGCAAAGTGTAAAAGAAACTTTCATTGAATGAATGAATGGAGCAAATGAATGAAAGGCATATGAAAGGGCCCTCTTGGACTCAGGCTCTGCTCTCACTGGAAATGCAGGCCTTCTATGAGCTCTTCGAGACCCTAACAAGGTAGAGCCCACTTCAATGCCCTCTGCTCTGAGCCGAACAGCTCAGTTCTTTCTCAAGCGACTGCCTGACCCTCTAGACACTTTGTGGCTTGCTGAAGCTCCTCATTATTGGTCTCCCACTCAGGCCACCTGCCCCTTACTCATTTGTCCTTTCAAGCTGCTAACATGGCTTAGCTTCCCATGGAAGGGATGGGTGTTAAGTGTTTAATGGATTTCCATTTTGGGGTCAAAGAATTGATGCTGTGAGGTACTCTTTGCTGGATGACCATAAATTCTCCTTATCTCCTAGGAGTAAAGGTTGGGAGCTCATCTCTCCCACTTTTACTGTTGAGGTGACAGGTCAATGGGATAATTACCCCCAAGTCACAGGATGGCATCTGTTTGCTAAAATAACCTTGAAGAAATTATGTTTCCTCCTGGAGGGCAGGCACCACATCTGCCGTCTCGACCACTGTATCCCCAGTGCCTGGCACTGGGCTCAATATGTATCTGATGGAGAAGAGGCGGAGGGAGGGAGGGAGGGAGGGAGGGAGATCATGATCAGAGAAGCTAAGTTTCTCACAGGGTGGTTAAGGAAGAAAGAGGGTAACTACTTTATGCCCATTAGGGTGACTATTATTTTTTTTAAAAAAGAAACAAATTTTGGTGAGGATGTGGAGAAATTGGAAAATGTGTACATTGCTGATAGGAATGAAAAATGGTGCAGCTGCTGTGGAAGACGGTAGGGCAGCTCCTCAAAAAGTTAAACATGGAATTATCATATGATCCAGCAATTCCACCTCTAAGTATATACCCTAACGAATTAAAAGCAGGGACTTAGATACTTGTACACCAATGTACAAAGCAGCATTACTCACAATAATCAAAGGGGGGGGGGACTGAATGTCCATCACTGGATGAACAGATAAACAAAATGCTGTATATACATACAATGGAATATTATTCAGCCTTTAAAAAGAAGGAAGTTCTAACTTATGCTACAACATGGATGAACTTAAGGACATTATCCTAAGTGAAATAAGCCAGACACAAAAGGACAAATACTGCATGATCCCACTTATATCAGGTTCCCAGAATAGTCAAGTTCATAGAGACAGAAAGCAGAACCGTCGTTACTGGGGCTTGGAGTGGGGGTGAGGGAGGGGTGGGCGTCAGTGTTTAATGGATTCAGGATTTCAGTGTGAGACGATGAAAAAGTTCGGGAGATGACTCAGTGATGGCTGCACAGCAGTGTGACTGTACTTAGTCCACTGAACTGTAGCTTAAAAATGGCTAAACGGTTAAATCTTATGTTAAGTGTATTTTACCACAAAAGAAAGAAAGAAAGCCTGGTATCCACTTTTCCAGTGTCTCAGGGAAGAGACAGCGTTGATGTCTCCCATGTGAATCAGCTACATCAAGGACTAAATAAATGTTTTTTGATTAAATTGCGTTTGTTTTTTTCCCCCTACGGTTGACTCCATTTTTATAATTCTTAAATTTAGGTACAGTTTATTTGTCTACATCCAAAACAGATTTTCGTTCTGAAAACAACCAAACGCCAACACTAATCAATAGAGTTGATGCGATACAATCAAAGCAGGAATGAAAAGAAAACGAACCTGACGTACAATTATGCACCTTTCCCACTGATCCTTAAACTTGTATTAACCACTGCCCCAAAAAACTCAGACTTCCACCTCAGACTAGGGGAGAAACACTTCTGGCCAGTTCCCCTGGCCCTCACGGTTCTGAGCCACAGCTCAGGCTCTGGCAGCTTTGCCAGGTGTCGCTGCTTCCGCGGGCTGTCTTTTCATTAAGGCTCAAGTCCTTTTTCATACGAGCCTTTTGTCTCAAGAGACCACATGCTTTGGCCATTGCCCCACCCACTCCCTCTGTCACCCAGAAAAGGAAGAAAGAGCTGCTATTTATCCGCCGGTTGCCAAGATCATGGTCACAGACACAACAGGAGCTTCCGCAGCGTGAGTGCCTGCGGGAGCCTTTGCCCGACGGGCGACACTAGGCAGCCTCTCTGTGGGCTACGGAGGTTTCCGTCCCCGCCCAGACAGTGAGTATGACACTCACAGCGGAATCAAAGGACGCGGCTTCCTTAGCAACCATCACACACACACTGGCTTCTAACTCCCAGCCACTGACAGCTTCCTTTCTTTTTTTCATTTTTTCCTAAGCGGATCACATCCTCTTTCCTGCTATGCACCCAAACTCCCTAAAATATACATTCGAAAAACACATTAAGGTACAGTGTATCTCTGGCAGGCAACAGTGTGCAACGGTAAGAAACAATGAGGCTCCCTTTGTCCTGATATGGGACAGTTTCTGCCAGTCTGCTTGCTCTGTGCAGAAAGCCAGTGCAAAACAGATCATGTATCTGACACCAGAGTATAAAAAAAGAGAGAAAAAAACCACATTTCCACAAATGCTGCTGTAAGCTCAGAACAGCCCCTAGAGTAGTACACAAGAAACTGCTCTCATGGGTTGGGAGGGAAAGTGCCGGAGACCAGGGACGGAAGGAAGACTTTTCACTTTATACAGTTTATCAATTTCATGTCATGTAAAAGTATTACTAGTTCAGAATAAATAAACAAACCTACTCATTAAAATAGAATATAAAAGGAAGGAATTCCAAGAAACCGTTTCCCTCTACTCAGCACATAGCATAGAGCTGTGTTTTTCATCACAAGGCGCTGACAGGGGTGGGGTGGGGTGGGGTGGAGAGAGATTATAGGATATTTCAAAGGCCCTTTCGCCTACAACGTGAACTCAGGTCAGGGGATCCCAGCTCTGAACAGTGGTGCAGCTCTGGGGGAGGCTGAGGTGGGGAGACGGGCTTGCAGATCTTTAAGGGTCTTGCAAGTCCTGATTATAACTCCATCCAAAGCTGTGCTCCTGTCTGAGGATCAGGCTCTGTCTGTCCCCAGGTATTACCCACTGGCACCTGGGATGGCATAGGGGCTAGTTGCTCTGGGGTTTTCCTCTTTAGGGGAGGGAGGTATGGGGCAATGGGTGAGACAGGCGCTCAGTGATCATGGAAAGCTGAGTCCCATACCTGGCTCTGACATCCCTGCCTTGGAGCAGGGAACATGGAAAGAACATCAGACTGAGGACAGAAGATATAAAGAAGTCTCTCCCCCTTCCTGGGGCTCAGTGCCCTCCTCTGCAAAACTAGCGGCAGGAAATCCTACCTCCAAAGGGTGTTGCAAGGCTTACGTGGCCGTGGATGGGGAACAAAGCTAGCAACTCACTCTGACATGTGTCCAACTGCCTGTGAATCTTCCTCATTGCAAAACCGATCCAGACACTAAAATCAGACACAGACCTTCATAAAAGGACCCCAGGTTCTGCCTACACATCCTTAATCACTGGAAGGAGGCTGTTACTATTCCCTCCCTCACAAATCCAGTTGAATTTGCCACAGAACCATCAGTTCTCCGTCAGGGCCCTGACACAGCCTGCTCACCTCAGGCCTGAGCGCTGAGGGCAGAGGCACCTCAGCAGATGTTTCGATCCCTGCCCCACAGTCCTGCCCACACAGTTGCAAGAACCCCTGCCCGAAAGGGTGAGCCGAAAACCACAGGAAACAGTGACTGGTTCCGAGAACATGTCACTTCCTGCTTCTGAATAACCCTCCGGAGGGTGGGGGGCCATAAGTGGCCCCACCCATGGGTGGGGTGGGGTGGGCTAGGGTGGAGGGATAGAATGGATAGAGAATCCCTTTCTCAGTTTCTCTCGTACTTTCGGGTCGGAGAAACTCACAGCCCCTTCCAGCCCATCTTGGGCTGCCCCAGGTGCATCTGAGTTGGTTCTGAGGAAAGACAGGAGCCTGGTGAGGGCTAAGAGGAAGCCCAGAGCTCAGGGTGGTTGCCTGGGACTTTTTTTTAAGTTAAAAGTTTACCGCTCACCATGGGGGCCTATGAGGAAGCCTGGGTGGTCCCACAGTCAGCTCCTCCCTGCATCTAAACTCCACCTCTCAGAATGTCCCATAGAGACCACCACTGGTCCCTCTCCCTCTGAGACAGGGAAGGATGGGGCATCGACCCAAGTTTGTACAAATGATAGTGCCAGGGTGGGGACTAGCTCCAGGCATTCTGTATTCCAAGCTCACCTGAGCCACAAACTGCAGGTAAAGGTGAAGGGAGAATGCCTGGGAGGTGTGGGGCGCATGTCGAGAAGGAAGAGGGGGTGTGAAGGGAGGAAGGAATTAAAACCAAGAGAAGAGCGAGCTGGGCCCTTGTCCTGAAGGCCCCAGGAAGCCTTCGGCAGTTTAATCAGAAGAGCAACATGGGCAGAGAGGGTTTTAGAATATTCTGGGTGCTAGGGAGCAGGCTGGAGTGCAGGGGAGCAAGACTAGAAGTAGGATGACAGATTACAGGTGCTGAGGCACCACTTCTGGAAAGAAGCACTCGGCAGCCTTTATAATCCACAGCTCCCTAGGACACACTCGTCACCTGAAGACCCTGGAGCTGGTGGGGCAGCCTGGGAGCATTTAGATGGAGGGTGTGTGTGTGTGTATGATGGGGAAAGTTTTACCCTTTGGGAAAAGTCAAACCAGAGAATATGGGAGAGATAAAACAGGAGGGAAATGATTGACTTTCTGAAGGTTAGTTCCTCTCTGAAATCAGACACCCAACTGCCACGCTGCCCAGGGCCAGGTCACCGGTGTGAACCTGCTACTCACCAGTCCCAGAGTTGAAGCCAGGCTGCTGGAAGTTGTAGTTCTTAATTTCGCTGTACCATCTGTCAGCCACCTCCTTTCCTGTATGGAAAAGACACTGTTTAAAACTCAGCAGCAAAACCAACCCACTCCCTAATCCTTGCATCTTCTCCCATTAACCCCAAACCACTCATCCCACAATTAGAAGTCTGATAAAGCACCAGAGAGCTGAAACAGGGACTCTTGCCCATGGGTATCCGCAGGCTGAAGAGATGGCCTTGGGGGGTGGGAAGAGCCCTGGCCTGTGGTCACCTGTATCTGTGTCCCACCCTGCCACTAATTCACTGTGTAATCCTAGGCAAGGCCTTCCCTTCTCTGGGCCTCTGTACAGAGTTAAATGGAAGGTACTCCAAAGGCTTCTAATGATGCTCCTAGCTTTCCAGAGACTCTGCACTCATCTCACCCAAAGTTTGGCTCCTGAAATATCCACAGGAGGAAAGGCAATTGAGCTGGTGGGCCTGGGTCTCCACTTGGACCATCCGCTGGCCCAGAGGTTTTGATAGGAGAAAACGCACAGCGTTTCCCTGAGAGCTGGTGACCTCAGGGTCAGAGCTAGGAGGAGCCTCAGAGCTCAGGGCTCAGAGCAGTGTCTCAAACTTGAATGTATGTACGAGTCACCTGGGGCTCTTGCTAAAATGCAGATTCAGTAGGTCTAGGGTGGTGCCTATGAGCCTGCATTTCCAACAAGTTCCCAGATACTGCTGCTGCTCTATGGACCACACTTTGAGTGGCAAGGCCTTTGAGAGCAGTGGCCACACTGGCCTCACCTGGGGAGCATTTAAAAATTGCTGATGCCTGGGGCTTGCCACAAACTGATTGCATAGGTATGTCTGGAGAAGAGACCCAGGCACTGGTGTTTTTATTTTTTTAATTTTTAAATTTTTTAAATTTTTATTTAAAAAAAAA